TATGCCCAGAGCTTGATTGGTCCAAAGGCAGGAGCCTGGAGCTTTCTCTGAATCCCCCATGTGGGTGTAGGGTGTAGGACCCAAGGTCCCGAGCCATCCTTCGCAACTCTCCCAGGCCACTTAGCAGGGAGCTGGCTTTGAGATGGAGCAGCCAGGACTCTTAACTAGTGCCCTCAAGGGTGCAGTGCTGCAGGTGGAAGTTTAGCCTACTAACCCGGGCACCAGCCTCACTCTGCTCCTCTTGGGCTTGGCACTAATGGTTCCTGTGCTCATGTACTCTGTGCACTGTGCCCTGACATCCCACAACTGGCTCCCTCCTGCTGTCCAAGGAATCACAGTGCCCATCAGTTTGCTTTTTCTGCACTTGGCCATGGCTTGTGTGTGTTTTCTCTGTCTCTGTATCTCCTCTTTCCCATAAACTCTTCAGTTGCTATGACTCCAGCACTAGGCTCACTGCTGTGTCCCTGGCACAGTGTCTGCCTTGTACTAAATGCCCTCTGTGATAATACATAGACAAATTGTAAATGTATTGTCTTTCTTCAGTTTCTAACAGGTTTTTTTAGCTAATAAATGAGATGTTTGTATAAATATCATAGGTGATCATTTTCTTAAGTGAGCAAAGCAGAAAAATTAAAAAAAAAAAGCAAAAATGGAACCAGTATTTCTTTTATCAGAATTACCACTTTTATTCCCACATTTATTTCTGCCTAGATGATAGAATGATGAGGGAGAGTGAACCAAGCAATAATTTTATCAGAAGTTCAACCTCCAACTTTCAAAATTAAAGTCAGAGTTTGACATAAAGATATGTTCCATTTGCTGATTCACTCCCCAGCTTGAGGTAACAGCCAACCCTGAGCTAGTATGAAGCCAGGAAGCAGTAGCTTCATTGGGGTCTCCCAGGGTAGGGGTGCCAGGGGTCCCAGCACATAGGCCATATCTCACACCTTTTCCTAGACCATTACCAGGAAGGTGAATTGTAAGTGGAGCAGCCAGGGCTCAAACTGGCACCCATGTGATAGAAGCACTGCAGATAACAGCTTCAAGAGGAACACCACAACTCTGGCCCTATACCTGCAACCTTAATCTACCCTTGATGTAGCATTCTTTGTTCAGAGAAAACAAACAAACAAACAAACAAACAAGGAGGCAAACAAAAAAAGCACAGCAGAGAAAGCAGGGTGGATGAGCCTTTGGTCTGCTATGTCTCACTTCTTGGGATGTCTGACTACATATGTAAGCTGAAAATTCACTACTCGGTGAGAATCCAGAAGAGGTGGCTGTGACAGGACTGGTTTCTGCCAAGAGACTTGTAGACTTTAAAGCAGATCCTCAGCACCTGGTTGTTCTTGGGGATGAGAGATGTGAGGCGTGCCTGAATGCAGGCAGCTGCTGGCTGTGTTACATCTGGAACCTGCTGCTCCTGTGGTTCTTTCTCTTCTCACAGTTCAAGGAACAGCAGGGATCGCTCCAGCTCATGGGGCTGATGTGCAGAACCAGGAGAGGACAAAGCTCCTTCAAGCTGCCTGCCAAGGCCTGTTGATGGATGGGAGTTGGGGGTGTCACTGCATGCTTGGACCCTGGGAGCGCAGGTGCTCTGGTGTGCCTCAGCTCAGAGGGTGCCCAGGCCCCAGTCGCCCCTGACAGCTGCCTGGACTGAAGTCTGGAAAAGGCTGTTGTCGGAGCAGTGAGTCATTCTTCCTCTGACTGCCACAGCTCTCCTGCCTCCACCCCACCCTCCTCTAACCCCAATAGGCTGGACATTCACAAGACTGCAACATTTTTCTGGAGAGTTTCTTGGCTTGCTGGCTTCAAGGTCCTGACCACTTTGTCTCTTAAGTAAATAGGCCGAGGCAGGGAAAGTTCCTGTTTAAAATCATGAGATGGCTTGGCCTTCAGAGCTCTCACACTCTGCTTCTCCTGGCCAGTCTCCACTTTCCATCCCAGAAATCCCGTTTCTCTTGTTGAACACATTGCTGCTTTCTCTAGGAAAGGACCTTCTCACCTCTGATTTTTTGAGGAAGATCTTGTATCCCTATGCATGGATCTAAGAGCTGATGCAGGCAGGTGTTTGAATGTCAGAGCAGGAGATGCTGGTGGGTGATGAAGAACTCACCACCACCTGCAAGGTCAGAGCCCTTGGGTGTGGAGTCTCTGTAGCTAAGTCTGTGGGTAGCTATGGGAAAGATGGAGGTAGTGACAAGAGCCTATGGAGGCCCTAAGGGCTTGGGACAAGATCTTTTCCTTCCGGTCTGTTACTGTGTTTGTACTGTTCCATTCTGATTGGACTCATCAGTTGAGTTATTGTGTTAACAGAATCCCAAGGTGGAAGGGCTGTGGCCACAGTCCACTAAACATGTATGCTGTCAGGTCAAAGGGCACTTGGTGACTCAGTGTGGGTGGATCTGCCTCACTCAAAAACACAGCTGGAGTCTGTGGACAGGATCTACAAGTGCATCTCACCAAGCCATTACTGTGTTGATTTTCTCACTACCCTTTTGGTGATGAGTACACCAAAACCACTACCCTTAATCCAGATGGAATGTTCACGATTTGCAGCCTTCTTGAAGCTCCCAGCCAGGAGCTTCTTTCTTGTAGAATTTTACAATCTGGGCCTGAAGTTACCGGGTAGGAGATTGGTGGCCCAGCCCAGACTTCAGCTGTCTACTGAAAATACCGTCTCATTCCAGCAGCTCTTTCTGGTCCTTCATTTCCATCTTTTCACAGTGAGGACATGCTAACCTAACTTTCTCTGCATTCTCCCCCAATGCAAGTAAGAACCGAAACTGCTTACTGTTTCATTTTTCTTTAATTCAACCAACAGGTTTTGACTGGACTCTTGTAGTGTCAGCTGGCTATCTCTATGTAGGTTTTGTAATGTTGAATTGTAAACATGTCTTTAGCAAGGTTCTTACCTGGGAGAGACCTGTACTTTTTGGGCTCAGGGGATATCACCAGGGCAACACTGGCACACAACACCACTCATGTGAGTTTCTGAGCTTGGTGGTTTCTAGAACACCTTGGTACTGTCTATTTGAACTTCAGATAATATGTGGGCAAACCTGAGGTTATAGGTCTTTAAGGTAGATGTTTTAGTTTTCATCCTGAGCCCAGTCTGGGCAGACATTTTCATGTCTATGTCTGCACACAATCTCTTATATATATATATAAAATAAATTAAGATTTATTTATTGTTATTGGAAAGATTTACAGAGAGGAGGCGAAACTGAGAGGAATATCTTCTGTCCGTTGGTTCACTCCCCAAGTAGTTGCAGTGGCTGAAGCCAAGCCAATCTGAAGCCAGGAGCCAGGAACCTTCTCCAGGTCTCCCACGCAGGTGCAGGGTCCCAAGGCTTTGGCCATCCTCAACTGCTTTCCCAGGCCCAAGCAAGGAGCTGGAAGGGAAGTGCAGCAGCTGGGACATGGACTAGTACCTATATGAGATCCCAACACATACAAGGTGAGGACATTAGCCACTAGGGTCTACACAGTCTCTATCTAAAGTATATACATGCACACACATTAAAGGTAGAGGTAGGGAGATAGGGATAGAGAAAAAAAAGAGAGAGATAGAGAGATGTAACTAACTTCCACCCACGGGTTCACTCCCCAAATGGCTGCAGGAGCCTAGCCAGACAAAAGCTGGGAACTTTATATGGTCTCCCATGTAGTTGTAGGAGCCCAAAAAAGTTTGGACCATCAGAAGTGAAGCAGCCAGAACTTGAATCAGTGGCCCAGTTAGACGCTGGCCCTAGCAATACTCTCTTTTCTTTGAGATTGTAACCCTTCTAGGGTCTTGGCGGGGGTTTCGTTGTTTGTTCTTGTTTTCATTAAAGAGAAATTCACAAAGAGAAGGAAATACAGATCTTCGGTCTGCTGGTTGACTCCCTGAATAGCTGCAATGGCCAGAGTTGAACTGATCTGAAGCCAGGAGCCAGGAGCTCTCACATGGGTGCTGGGGCCCAAGGACTTGGGCTATCCTGCAGTACTTTCCCAGGACATTAGCAGGGCATTGGATAAGATAAGCCAGGATATGAACCGGTGTCCATATGGCCTGCTGGCACTTAAAGGTGGAGGATTAGTCTGTTGAACCATGGTTCTGGTTCCTGGGGTCTTGATGTTATAAATAGGGTCCCAGGCTCTACCTCCCAAGGTACTGTCTTCTATTCCCAAAAGGATATGTGAACCCTGGCCTCAAGTCCAGTGCCTTCTGTGATGCTAAAACATCACCTGGTGCTCTGGCTTTTAGCACCTTATACATTTGGGCCTAAGGGGCCTTGCCTTCCTTATTGTAAGCTCAGCTTATTTGTTTTATTTCATTTAGCATTTCTAGATGTTTTATGAAGGGAGGATTGTCAGATTGCCTCCCCAACTGTGACCAAGTTGCTGGGTAGAAGCTAGAGATACAGGCAAAAACAGGGGTAGCAGAGTCACAGATGACAGCTCAGTAGCGTGGCAGGCGTCAGGGCCCAGGAGCACAATGAGCCCTACAGAACCTGCCCTTCTCCTGGTAATGTGAAAAGCCAAACCACGCATTTTGTTTGCTCAGTGAGTATTGATTCTGGAGTCTCTTTGCTTTTGCTCCTTCTGTAGGCATTTCCTGAGTACCTCCATGACCAGACACCATCCTGGACTGTCACCTAGACTGTCGCCTTTAGTTCCAACAGTACTGTTGGAGCAGAGGTTTTAATCCTCATTTTCCAGATGAGCCATCTGGAGCTAGGGAGATGATTAAATTTGCTCAAGCGATGAGGCCTGTGTCAGACCACTGTGAGACTTGGGTGTTCTGAGCTAAGCGTGGTCCGTCCTCCTGTGTCTGCTCCTTCACAGTGAAGGACTGTCCCGGGGGTGGTGGGTGGGTCTCTTGTTTTCATGTTTCCTGTTCCTTCATTTGGCAGGTTGCGGGGAGGTAGGGTGTCCTTGACAGCTGCGCTGGGCCCAAGGTCCCAGGGAATCTCATGTCTGTGTTTGTGAATGCCCTCTCCCCTCCCCTGCTGCAGGAAGGATATCTAACAAACCCGAGAAGCCTCTGGGAAGACTACCCGCATGTGTACCTCCCGTGAGTATGGTTGGTCGTGATGGGGAAGCTAGTGGAAGCACACGAGTCCGCTGGCTTCTCATCCTAAGAGTGACCAGATCAGATCACCGTGGGGCCAGCTGGGCTGAGGCCCTGAACTGTAGCCCTTTAGGGTAGATCATGCAAACTCGAGACTCATCTGGGAACCACTTGCTCCCAGTGTTCTTGTCCCCCAGTATGTGTCACCTGCACTAGCTCCAGCCACAGGGTAACCTCCCTGGGTGATAGATGCAGGAGCAGAGCTGCCCCAGGCACATCTCTGGGCTCTGTGCCTTCTTGCTGCCGCATGGACATTCACGGCTTGCTTCCCCTGGCAGATGTTCCATTGCATGTAGTTTCCCCTGCTTCTCCCTCAGTGCCACCAAAGAGGCCAGGAGGGCAACGCCTGAGCCCAGTCCCCTCAGGAGGCCACCCCTTTGGGAGCACCATGAGCAGAGGGTGTTAGAGATAAGTCATATCTTCCCTTGCTTTGAGAGCCAACCAGCGAGTGGCATCTCCTGCAAGCACCATCTCTTCCACATTGCTCTGTAGTCGGTTCCTGCTGCTGCCTACTTTTTTCTGGTGTGGGGAACCCTCCTCTTCCTCTGCATTCCAAAATTTGTTTTCTTGCTTGGAGGCTTTCTGTGCAGCATATGCTGGCACCTCACAGCCAGTCCTGGCCACTCCCTCCCTGCTGCACTTGGCAAGGCCCCTGGGCAGCATTTTTCTCTCTCCTGTCCATTGACCTGCTCCGCTTATCTGCAGCTTCCAGGTGAAGTTTTTCTACCTGTGCCAACTGGCCTACTGGCTACATGCAGTGCCTGAGCTGTACTTCCAGAAGGTACGGAAGGTGAGTACTCCCTGCCCACTCAGAGACTTCCATCCCTTTTTCCTGGACTCTGCCAGAAACCCAGGGAGTTGGCTGGCCTGGCCAAGGTCTTGGGGGGTGGAGTGGAGTGCTGAGCAGCACCTACAGTCACAGCAGGAGAGGAAGCCACCAGTGCCAGCTTCTGGCCTGCCCTCTCCGCTAGACCTGTGACTTCGATCCTGAGATTGAATGAGGAGGAATTTTGCTCTTCCCCACAGTCTTTACAAGTTCTGTTGTCATTTTAATGATTTCCCTAAGACCCCTTCCCACTCTCTGCCTCTTAATCAAACCTTGCCCTCTGACTCTGGACCCAAAGCTGCTGTGGTTGCCGCCTCATCCTTGGGCTTTATAGGAGCACAGAACATGGGGGCTCCAGCGTGACGTGGGACTGAGTTAAGCAGTCCTGGCCCAGGGACAGAAAGTGGGCCAGGGTCTTCCCCCACCCCGCACACTCCTGCACTTACCCCCATCCTCTGTGTCTTCATTTAGGGAGTGAGCAAATTTACCCTCACTTTTTCATTTCCAGGAGGAAATTCCCCGCCAGCTGCAATATATTTGCCTGTACCTGGTCCACATAGCTGGAGCATACCTCTTAAAGTGAGTGAGTGCCTGCCATCAGCCAGATTCCTCTCTCCCTACATGTGACTTTACTTCTGTGTACACAGTTGCTCAGCTGGCGTTTGCATAGCACCGTCTGGGTGGCAGGTCTAGTAGTTCATACTTGGGAAGACAGAGGTGGATAATGAGAGATTCTGTTACCTTCACTAGTTTGTTTTCTGCAGAAGGGAGAGACAGTTACAGATGCACTTGAGGACTGTAAGTGCTGTGACAGAGTCTATATATCATTTGCTAGGGAGGACCCAGGAGAGGGTGGCTTTTGCCCTGGAACCATGGTTTTTCAGGTTGAAGGCAGCCTTCTAGTGTTGAAGGACCTGGGCCCTGCCTTGAGTGTCCACAAGCAGGGGCTGCTCTAGCTTGCTGCCCTGAAACGCCTTTCCCTTAGGTTTGTTATCAGAAGTGCCAGGAGTCTGCTGCAGCATTTGGTCTTGATGTAAGAGTCCTAGTGATGACCCAACTCTGTCACTGAGACATTAGACTCTCCTGAGCTTCCTCTGTGCTAGGCAAGAGTCCTGTGTACTTTTCTGGGCTGGTGTCTTGAGAGCTTTTGTGAAGGCACTTAGAGGTCTTAGGAACCATTAGCTCTTAGGTCAGGAGTGGAAAAGGTCCAGGGTTGGCACTGTGGCGTAGCAGGTTAAACTACCGCCTGCAGCATCCTTACCGCTACGGGCACCAGCTTGAGTGCTGGCTGCTCCGCTTCTGATCCAGCTCCCAGCTAATGGCCTGGGAAAGCAGCCGAAAATGAGCCAAGCCCTTGGGCCACTTCACTCAGCATGAGAGACCTGGATAAGGCTCCTGGCCCCAGGCTTCAATCCAGCCTAGCCCCAGTCATTGCATCCATTTGGGAGAGTGAACTAGTAGATGAAAGATCTTCCTCTTGTCTCTGTAACTCTGCCTTTCAGATAAATAAATCTTTTAAGAACATAAAAAAGAGAAATGTCTGACCCAGGGGCTGTAGAAATCCTGCCTGCAGAATCACAGGACTTGGCCCTGTCTATGTAGCCAAAGGCAGAACTTGAAATTCAATAAATCTATATATAGTAGGATAATTTTTCTAAGTTGATAATTTTATTCAGCTTGTAAATGATGTTATAAACATCTAAATAGTCCTTGGCAGAAATAAAAAGCTCCCTGCCCTTGATCTAAGTTCTCTTTGCAGGCCTGCCATGACATTCCCCCAGCAGCATCTTTTGTTGAGTGGTCCTCTGAGGGAATGGGGCTGTAGGTTCCTGTCTGCTATGGGGCTACAGCTCACATGACACCTGCAGAGTGGGTCTAAGGAAGTCCGGTGGGATGTGGGAAGGAGTAGGGAAATAGGTTACGGGCAGCACCACATGGAACAAGGCCTTCCTGCTTCCCTCCCCTCCCCTGAGCCATTAAGACCTGGGTAAGAAAGTTAGACCATAGAGCCCCTCGGTTGTTCCACATGCAGAGCTCAGCATGCTTGTTCTGAGTACCTTCTGAGTACTTGCTGCCAGATATGATGATGATGATGATGATGATGATGACAAATGCAAAATGCTAAGTCTTGTGATACATCTGGTCCAGATTCACTGTGGGAGCAGACAGCAAGGCATGCTCACCGGCCAGGTAAAAGGCCAGGGTGTCAGAAAGCATTCCTGAAAGTGTGCCAGCGAAACAGTCTTCAAGGTTGAGAAGGCGTCTGCCAGGGCGAAGTGGGGACAGAAAGCAGAGCCTGGGCCTGGGGCAGCCTGAGCTGGGCCTGGGGCATGCTGGGAGATGGCTTCTGCTCTGCAGTGTGGCACAGACAAGCAACAGCCTCATCTTTTCCTCCAGCCTCAGCCGCCTGGGTCTGATCCTGCTGCTCCTGCAGTACTCAACCGAGTTACTCTTCCACATGGCTCGGCTCTTCTACTTTGCAGATGAAAACAACGAGAAGCTGTAAGCAGGGTTGCAGTGGGGCTGATCAGCTTACAGGCTTTGGTGGGCACCAGGTGATGGGAGGATCCCACTCGGGGTGGGTAACCCTCGCCAACAGCTGTCCCAGTAGGAGCATCTGATCCTAGGCCTCTGTCCCTCCAACCCCTTCCTGGACTCCTCTCCCAGCTGGGATTGCATCTAGAGAAGTGGATCAAGGTGTTACTAACAGGGCCCTTTTTCTGCTTCCTTGAGCAGGTTTAGTGCCTGGGCTGCTGTGTTTGGGGTCACTCGCCTCTTCATCCTCACCCTTGCTGTGCTCGCCATTGGCTTTGGACTGGCTCGCATGGAAAACCAGGCGTTTGACCCTGAGAAAGGGAACTTCAACACCTTGCTTTGCAGGTGAGTGGAGCCTAAGGAGATGTCAGGACTCTCCCAGCACTGCCAGGAACCTCTTGAACTGGACACAGCTGCTCCAGAAAGTCGATCAGTACTATGTTTCTTTAAGTACAGAGACCCCCGATGGTGTCTTGGCCAGGGTTCCTTTGCTCTTTTTTTTTCCTCCAAAGACTTATTCATTTTTATTGGTAAGGCAGATTTACAGAGAGAAGGAGAAAAGCATCTTCCATTCACTAATTTACTTATTCCCCAAATGATTGCAATGGCCAGAGCTGAGCTGATCTGAAGCCAGGAGCCAGGAGCTTCTTCTGGATCTCCCAAGTAGGTTCAGGGGCCCAAAGGCTTTGGGCCTTCTTCTGCTCCTTTCCCAGACCACAAGCAGGGAGCTGGATGGGAAGTGGAAGAGCCAGGATGTGAACTAGCATCCATATAGAATCCCAGTGCTTGGAGGAGGTTTAGCCAATTGAAGCATCATACTGGGCCCTGTTTTTTTTTTTTTTAAACACATCTCTCTTTTTAAAGTTTTTCTCCTCATTTTATTAGAAAGAGACATAAAGACACAGGCAGATCTCCCATGCACTGGTTTATTGCCGAAATGCTCTCTATTAACCAAAGCTGGGCCAGGCTGTAGCCAAGTGCCTGAAACTCCCTCGAGGCCTTCCACAGGGATAGCAGGGATCTAGGTACTTGAGCCATTGTCTGTTGCCATCTTCCACCCCCACTGCTAAAGGATGCACGTAAACAGGAAACTAGAATCAGGAGCAGAGAGAAGACCCAAACCCAGGCATTCCTGTGTCAGCACCTTCACTGCTTCGCTGAATACCAGCCCCTTGCCTTTAAGTGGTATGCTGAATGGGAAGCTGTTCTTCCTGGAATTGCTTCTGTTACTGCATAATTCAGTTCATTTGAGGCCTACTCATGTAGTTGCACCCTATGCCAGTCTTGCTGTGTGCTGTGGGTCCAAGAGACACATGGCCACAGGTCCTCCATTGTGGAACTGGACTTGACCCTGGCTCCTCCAGCTTTCTTATCTCCCTGGCCCCATCGCTGCACCCACACTGACATGTGCTCCAGCAGAAATAGATTGAAGCACAAACTTCTTGGTGCTGGGCAGTGCTGGCAGGAAGGGAACTGCAGGGTCCTGCCCTGTGCCTGAGGCTGTGGGCCAGAGTTCTTCCCTTGAACCCACCTCTTCTCTCCACCCCCAACAGGCTGTGCGTGTTGCTGCTGGTATGTGCCGCCCAGGCCTGGCTCATGTGGCGCTTCATCCACTCCCAGCTGCGGCACTGGCGGGAATACTGGAACGAGCAGAATGCCAAGCGGAGAGTGCCAGCTGCCTCTAGACTACCAGCCAGGCTCCTGAAGAGGGAATCGGGTGAGTGCCAGGGCCCCAGCTCGTGTGAGGTGGGTGTGGAGGAGCTCCTGGGCTCCTTGTGCTCTCTGCAGACCAGTCCTGCCTGCTCTTCCTTTCTGACTGCTTCCCTGAGGCCTGGGATTCCTCCTTGACTGGCACGTGGCTGGGTGCAGGCCAGGAACAGTGTGGGTGGAGCTGCTCTGGGGCAGGATGGTGCTGGCTGCAGAGCTCTGGCGGGAAGTTTGCCCTCAGGGTGGCTTCTGGGCCCCTGCCAAGTGGCTCCGCCACCACCGCCCCTGCGTCCGTGTCCTACCCTGCGCAGTGGCTCTGTCCTTACCTGCCCTTTGTCTCCCAGGCTGCTGGCTCCACCTCTGTCTTCAGGCATGACTCAGAGTGACACCATGCTAAGTGGGCGGCAGGGGTGGGACATCCACTTCTCCATTGGCTCCTGCACTGCCTGCCCTGCACTTTCTGCATAGCCCGGAGGTCTGTCTGCACCAGGCTCTGTTTTCTGAATTGCCTGCTTTTCTCTGACAGCAGCCTGCCTGCTTGGCAAGGGCTCAGGTGTGCTTAAAGCAGACACGTGTGCAGCTGGGTGTGGGGAGGATACACCCAGCAGTAGGGAAGTCTAGGGTGTGAGGTGGCTACACGTGCATGCACCTCCTCAACTTTCAGCAAGTACATGCAGCTTCAGAAAGATGGTAGTTTCTCTGCCAGAGACATGTCAGGGGCATGAGAAAGGCCTGATGGCTGCAGCCTCCCCTGCCCTCCTCCCTGCTCTGGCCACCGTCCTGGGAATTGCTGCTGCCATGAGCTGGTGTCCTGCAGGGGCCGCAGGCTAGTGGGGATGGACAGGCCTCTCTTGCCCGTTTGTCAACCCAGGCCTTCACGGACAGTCAGGCCTGACACCTCATACAGAGCCACTTCTCCAAGGCCCTGGAGAAAGCGGGAAACTGCTGGCTACTTGCTGTCAGTTGGCTTCTATTGGCTGTGGGAGCCCCAGCCTGGTGTGTAAGTGACAAATCCATGTATGCACTCCTGCCCTCGTCCGCCTCAGGCCCATCAGAAACCTCTCTCTCTCTCTTTCATTCCACGACCCAGGGTACCATGAAAATGGAGTGGTGAAAGCAGAGAACGGAACCTCCCCACGGACTAAGAAACTCAAGTCTCCCTGAGGCCAAATTGCGGAGCTCGGGCCTGCTTGCACTGGGGGCCCAGCCCCTCGGCCTCTGCCTTCCTGCTCGCCATGCCCTTTCTCACACAGCAGAGGCTTGTCTTTAATGGAGGGCATTCTCCTTCTGGCTTCTCAGCTTTCTCCAGCTTCACAAACCCCTTTCAATAAAGCCAAAAATCTTCTTCTTTCTCTCCCTCCAACCCCCTCTACTCTGGGGAGGGAGGTTGGGTTTTCCCAGAGGTTGTCTTTCGGCCTCCTCTTGGCTTGTCCTCCATGACTGCTGCCTTCTCTTTTCGTCTCTCTCTCCGTCTCACCTCTGCGTGTAGTTTTTCTCTGCCCTTTCCAATGGGAGGGAGCTAAGACTGTGGTCTTAGGCTTCTCAATCTGGGGGTCCCGGGAAGCTCTGTACCCACGAGCCTCTGCCTCGGGCTGCCAGCATGCCCCTCGGCTGGTCCTTGTGTGGGCGGGCAAGGAGAGGAGAGACCAGTCCCGCCCGGATCATCATCTCCTGGGTGCTGATGAACTAACGAGATGCATGATTCCAACTCTGCACGAGGCATCGCGAGGCACGGCAGCCAGTGCTAGTCAGAAACGCCAAGGCCTTTGTCTTTGGAATGTGGCAACTCAGTCCAGATGGATGGCTGTCCACTGGTCCCCTGACTCAAAAGAGTGGCTGGCTTTGGACTGAAAAAAAACAGCCCACCCATCACTGTTCCGAACAAGAGCAGAGCACGCCAGTAGCAGCAGCCCCTTCTGCAAGGGGCAGCAGCAGCAGAAGCGACAGCACCGTCAACCTCGGCCTTTGGGCCCCCAGCCGCAGCGGCTTCTTCACCAGCATTCAAAACCAAACCAAACAGCTCTTCACAAACCCACCCCGGACACGTTGGTCTACACGCCAGGACCAGCCTGCCTGTCCCCAGGCTAGGCTTGCTGTCTTTATTTCATCTCCCCGGCTGCAGAAGCACAAAGCCTCCAGGATACCAGCCCCACCCCAGTTTCCTTGTGCCCCTGGGAGAGCCAGCTGTGACTTCCCTCACTGCATGGTGAATCGTTGTCACTTGTAGATGAGCATAAAACCTGGACTGGCTCAGACTCGCTCTTTGGGCATAGCTGCATGCTGGGCATCTTCTGCCCCAGGCCCCTCCCGTGTTCTTTCCCTTTGTCTCCTCCCCCATGACAAGGCTTGCAAGTCTTCATGGTGGCTTGTGAGGACTTCCGGAAGAGGAGATGGGCCTGGCCAGGTCCTCCTAAAGGGCTCCTGGTCTGTGCTGAGGCAAAGAAGTCATTCTTGGCAGGCGCAGGGATGTTTGTGTGATCGGTACATGGCTCTGATTTTCGAGATCACGGCAGAAACCAGACCTTGTGTTTTAATCCAGAAATGGGGGAGGGTGGGCCTTTTCAGCAAGGCACTTCTCTTGAACAAGTCATCTGTATTATAGCTAGATTACAACGGCTAGTCACTGAGGGCCACCATTGGAGACCTTTGTGTCCAGGGTAGAGTTGTAGAAATGGGAAGAGCTACCCTGGGCTGCCTTTAAGTTTGCAAGGGAAGGTAGGCGACATTTTGGCAGTTAGGCTTTTCTCCCATCCCTCTCACCTTTTCAGGTCTGAAAGGCCCTCGGCATTTCTCTCAGTCCTGCTGTAGTGCCCCTGGGTTCCTGGGAACTGCCAGTGGAGGGCAAGCGCAGTCAGCAGCCTCCCCCTTCTTCTGTGTCCTGGGAGGTGCCTCGCCAGCTTCCTGCAGCAGTTCCCTCCCACCACCACTGCTCCAGAGTCCAGTGTCTTCATCAAGCACACGTGGTAGTGCTGGTGACATACTGGGTGCTGGGAAGGCAGGGGCTGCGCTCTCCGGCTGCCTGTCTTGCTGTCCTGGGTTCTGGAGCCAATGTGGCTTTGTGTTCCCTTAGTTTCCTTCAGGCTTCCAGCTGTGCCCATAGACCATGCCTTGGACCTGGCCTCACTTGATGGCAGTTGAGCTTACTTGGGCTCTGTTTTCTACAGGGCAGAGCTTCTGTTCATTAGTAGAAGTTAGTAAAATCTTTTCTGTTAAACAAATCCTGGGAGTATGAATAAGATTGGCATCTCTCTAGCCTGAACTTGGTTCATGTTCATGGGGTTGGAGAGTAATAGAGCACTTTTTCCAAGCTCTCTGCCAGCCCCCTTCCCCTGGCTTCCCTGGGACATTGATGTCATGGCAGGGTCAAGTCTTTGGCAGGTTGACATAATTATCTTGCAGGAGCTCATATAGTTCTGCCTCCCACTGGGAGCCCATTGGGCTAACCTGTCTTAATTTGGCAATTTTGTATACTCCATCCTGTCCCCAAAGTACCTAGGTATGAGGGAAGGCCCTGCCAGACACCTCCAAGTTTGAGAGGTTGCCCCGGCACCATCTGCCAAGAGCAGAAGATGCTCATCTACCTCAGTACCTGTTGCCTCTGACATCCGTGGCTGGCATCCATGTGTGGAAAGGCCAGCACCTGGCAGTGGGAGGGGAAAAGGGTGGGGCTGATCAACAGGAGTGGGGGCGTGCCCTGGGGTTGATGCCCTCCCTGCTGTGCCTGGAGGCAGGGATTCCTGAGGGAAGGGGAGAAAGGGGAGCGGGCTGGGCCAGGAGGTGAGCTCATCTCTTACCTTCTGGTCAATTTTAACGATATGAACCTGCACCCCCCAGGCCCAGATGGATGCTGAGAGTCTTGGCCATTCCCATCTCCAGGTAGTCCTTACCACCGTTTCTGCAAGCCAGGTAGACATGTCTGTTCTAGTCATCTTTGCAGGGGCTGTGGACTTCTGAGAACAGCCGTGTTCCCCAGGGGTGAGTTTGTGCTTTTGGGGCTTCATTGTTCCATCACCCTTGACCTTCCCTCTGAGCTGTGAGAGAGTAAAGATAGAGAGTGCACCCATGGGTGGTTTCATTACAGCAACTTGCCAGTACCCATGGTGTCCCTCGGGGACCTTCCAGCCTGGGTGAGCGATGGGAGGATGACCTGGGCATCACAGTGGACAGACTTCAGTCTGCTCCCCTGCATCTCTGTCGTTGCAGTTAAAGAGGGCTGTTTGCTTCCCAGCTGCAACCCGGTCTCCTCCCGAGCGGCTGTGGATCTACAGGAAGCTCCACTCGTGATCATAGCACCTAAATAGACCCTGAGTGTGGCCCAGCCCAGCAAGGGAGGCCCTGCTGCCTTCTCAGTTCTGTCCCCTTTTCTTCGGGGTATTAGTCCCACTTTCCAGAAGGCTGGAAGAGACCACCACACTCATCAGCTGCCTCACCTCCCCCCTCACTCTTGTATGCAGAAGTGCTGGAAGCTGAGGGGTCTGGACAGCCTGCCATTCATGCTCTGCCACTTTTCTTTTCTTTTTTTTTTTTTTTGTCCTGAGCAGTCCCTTTCTCATCTTATGTCCTAAGTGCCTTACTCTTCACTTGTACTGTATGGCCAGCGCCCACTGCCAGGGCACTAAGGGCTGCGTGTCGTGTGCATCTGAAGACACCGTACCTCAGTACAGTCACATAGAAAAGGGATGTGGGTTGCTGGTTTCGCCTCATTCATTCCAGCCGTACCCCCACTGCTGTAGGGTCTCTGCTTTTTGTCTAGTTGTCTGCCTTATGTCTGTGCCCCCCTCAGGCCTGCCGGATGACTGAAGACACCTGTCTGGGCCAAGGCTGAGGCACCTGTGCCTTGTGCCTCACAAGGGAAGCTTAGAGACTCCCAGGTCCTCCTCACTCCCAGCCTGCTGGGCTGCTGGCCCCACATAGCAAGCCCTGTGCCTCCAGGCCCCTGCTACCCCAAAATTCACTCGTGGTCACCTCTTTCCATCTGTTTCACTGCCCATTTAACCCAAAGTTGCTATGAAAAGGTGTTTACTTGGACTTGTCAGTCTCTAGTGTTAAACTCTTAGATAACCCATTGGACAGTGGGTCCAGTCTGGCTGTTGCACACCCTTCTTGGTCCTGCTTCAGTGTTAAACCTTGTGTGAGCAGCAGCCACCCTCTCTGTCCTCTGCCCCTGCCTGCCTGCCTTTCCTTGCTCTTCCGGGTTGTGCAATAACCCTCCCAGCCAGTGGTCTTGTCCACAGGCCTTTTTGTTCCTTACAACGCCCTGCCATTGGGGAAGAATTGGGACTCAGAGGAGGGGTAGTCATCATCCCTTAGAAAAGACATGTCAGCCACGTACCCTTGGCTGCTGTCATTCTTGTGTTCCCGGGTGGTTTCTATGGCGCTCCTGTAGAACATGTAGCATCGTCTTACCAGTACATCTACCTGGTTTACAGTCTGTTGAAAACCAGCCCATCCTCATGATGGGGTAGAAGTCTGCATTGGAACCAGATCTGACGGGATGCTCAGCTGTCATCACCGTTCCCAAGCTTAAAAGTGTTCCAGAATTTGTTGTTCATGTGGAGGAGACGGTTTTTTTGTTTTTTTGTTTTTTTTTCTGAGAGTCCACCACAGGTGGGTAACCCTGTTCACCTGGAAAGATGTGGCTGCGATAGTAAGTGCCACCCTTTCCCTGGGTACAGATTCCAGTGTTTATGTGCTGAGACAATAAACCTCATTTTTCAGTTCCTCTGTTTCATAAACACCTGAAGGATGAGCTGGGTCTGTTAGTGCCCTGAGCAACTCATAATGCAAATGTGGACATGATGTCTCTTTGTTTTTCTACATTAGCCTGTTCATGTTATGGACCAAATTTGAACAAGGAACTCAAGGAAAATTTGTACTTTCCGTATTTATGCTTTCATGTAAAAGGGTGGGAAGGGAGGGTTGTCTGTTTACTTTTGGTAGACTTTTTTCAAAATCCCTTTTCCACTGTTTTCTGTCTGGTTTTAAAACAAATGACAGTTTTGTATGGATTTTTTTTAATGTACATTTCGAAACAAATGATTGAATATTTTCTGAAATAATGGAATAAAAGACATAGAATTATCTAATCTCTGCTATAATTCCTTGACCTATTTTTCACGCTTTTTAATGCAGCTGATTATTTGCTTTTACTGGAAAACTGTGTGTAGCCATTTGAGCCCCACGCCTAATATTTTTCATTGTGTTCATCATACAATGATGAGTATTGCTTGTCTGTTGTGCTCATGTGAGTTAGGAACTGGAATTCCTGAGGGAGAGAAAGGGCATATATCCAGAGGTGGATGTTGACATGCAACACTTTATCTGGTTTGTGATAGTAAGGGGAAAGGCTGTTCCTTTACACGATGCTGGCAGAAAGCTTCTGAAGTAAGCACGCCAGGCCTGAGGCCTGTGAAGTCACTCGGCATGCAGAAGGTGGGTTTTAGATGTCCACAGTAGTAACGGTGCGAAGTGAGGATTGCTGTTGTCACTTGCACGAGCTGCTGTTGCCCACACAGCTGCCTGCTGCATTTTCTAGAACCAAGCTTCTACAGCTCTCAGGAGCTGAGTGTGGCTGTAGATCATAGTCAGCCAAGAACACCCATGTGTGTGATAGTGCAGCTGGAATTACTTAAGAACACGAACATGTTTGATGCAGATAGGTTTTAAACCTGCTCTCCCTTGAGAAACTTAGCTCCAGCTAACCTTTTTGCATATGTTTGCTCATCTGTGTCCTGTGGGTTTTGTTTTTGTTTCAGGAGGAATGCTAGTGGTGAGATAGAGTCAGTGAATCCAAAAAGTACTTGGTAAATTGCTTTGTTTAATGAACATGCTCATTCTGAAGTGTCTACTGTATATTCAGGAGTCATTTCCTCAAAGGACCCCTGATTTCTGCAACCAACACATAGAAAAGTCTTCTCTGCCTGTTAGTCCCAACTATCCTCAAATCCTGTAATATCGGCTTTCCCGTACCTTATTTGCTAGGTGGTATTTTCAAGGCCCCCTAGTGGTACAGACAGAGTATAGACCAGGGCTCTGGAACACAGGCGACCAGCACCAACAAGGCAGATTTTCATGAGCCCTGAAGCCGTAGTGCTCAACTCCCCCGAATCTTAGACATTTCTTCTAGCACAAGATCTGCTGGCTGTAGCTACCTGTGTGCCCTTCCCCCCATAAACACTAATGGGTAATGCTGATTCTATCTCAATTCCCGGAGGGACCAATTTGAAGAGGTGATCATTTATTTTTCTCACTGTACTGCCTGC